TGCGAGGTTGCAAAAACTCCAACATGGCGTGCGTGTGTGCAGGGGAGGCTTCCAACATGTCCTTGTCACCAACTTTCCCTCTATGTTGTTCCTTTTGTATGGCAGGCTCAGGAACCCGATGTGGAAACAGAAGGGACCGGCGGGCAGGCAGCCTCCCGCTCCTTCCTCAGTGGAACCACGTGCACATCTGGTGCCGCAGGTGAGACCCTGGGGGTGGGAGGGCCGTTCCCTTTGGGTCTGCCACTTGAGCCTCTTGCTTGTCACTCTGAGCAAAACACCGCCTGACCTTCTGCCCCTTTAGCTTAATACTGACCTCTCTGGCCGGCAGCAGCTTTCCAGGAGGGACAGCGTCCCTTCCTCGCCTTCTGCTCTTCTCCCACCCAGCTGCTGATCCGTTTAGCTTCCGAACTCTGACCACAGTCCCCGTGATGGCATCTAATGAAAATCTGGAGAATGATATGCTGCCATGGAATGATAATCAGATGCCGTCAAGTTCTTTTCAACTCATCGCAATCTTTCCAGGATTCCTCAGTATAGAGAACTGAGGAATTGTTTACCGCTCCCAACCTGGGGGGCTTCTCTCGGACTCTGCAGCTTGCCCAAGGCTGCACAGGCTGCCTTGTCACCTGGGAGGTACAGTAGGGGAATCGAACCTGCAGCCGCGAGCTCAGCAGCTGGGTAATGGTAGCTCTGTGAGTTGGATACCAGGCTGTGGAGCCAGAGGTCAGGAATTCGATTCCTCGCTGAGCCTCCCAGGAGCAGAGCCAGCCTGTGTAGCCTTGGGCAAGCTGCAGAGTCCTCAAGCATCCCCCAGAGAAGGGAAGGGGGAACCCCCTCCGAGTACCTTAGAAAACCCTGAGAAATGGTTGCTGTACGTCAGAATTGACTTGATGGCACCTGAACTGTTGTGACAGCACCATAATGAATCAACACAGGAGGGGAAAGGGAAAAAGGCAACGAATCAGTGTTGAAATGTCCAGTGTCAGTGACCTGGATCTGGTCTTTCCACCTCAATGCTGTGACAAATGGATGCAGAGTTTCTGCACAAGACAGGCTTCATTCTTCTTTATCCACCTCCTCGATAATATTTGTGTGCCCACCTTGTAAGCAAAAAATAGGACTATGTTAAAATACGTGTCCTAGAATTGAATCCTCTGTTTCTGACCGAGGTTTGGCATGCAAATAGTAAGACTCCCGTTTGTTCATCCTTTGCTGAAGCAACAAGAGGCGTCAACTGCCTAAGAGATGTCAGGTTCCTTCCTCATCGTCCTGCAAGTAATCTGGACGATTCCAGGTCTGGATTCGGGTGCAACTGCCCACAGCCTGGCAAGACCTCCAACCACCTCTCCAGAGCTTAAGAAGCCTGCCAAAATTTTGCCAGTGTGCATTCTGATTCGGGCAGAAGTTCACCCCTCATTTCCTTCCTTCTCCGTGCAGATCCGAGCAAATCCTCTGGGAACAAAGATCGAGATGCTTCTCTGGACGAGAGCCCATCATCTTGGAAGGAGGAAGGTCCTCAGTGGCCAGTGCCTCCTCTCCTTGCCCCAGAAGGCACCCCAAGAGATGAGAGGGCCTCAGACTCAATATGCACTGAAGATTTTGCTGCTGCTTTTTATGAATGCCTGGTGGATCCTCTCCTGAGTTCCAGCGATGAAAAAGAGGGAAGTGAGTTTGATCTCGCAGTCACATCGCTAGAGCCCGTTTCCAGGAGCTGGGCTGAAAATCCTGACCCTTCTCAGCTCTACGAGGGCATGCAAGCTGTGCTAGATCCTCATTTCATGGGTGCAGCGAGAAAGCAGGGTGTTGTCCGGTCTCCTAAGGAAGCCTCGAAAGGGGAAGAGGGCCAAGTTTCTCCAACTCTTTATCCAGAAGCGCCTCTGTTCCTGGGCCATCAACCCAAAACGCACAGCCTGGAGCCTTCAGGAGCAAAGATCTCCCCACTTGGCAGGACATTCTCTGAGGAGACCTCTAGGGCTACGGATGTTCTTGGAGATGTCCCCCTGGGGGAAAGGAGTCTTCGACACCAGCCTCTGAAGTTGGGAGAGAAGCCGGTGGACTTCACGTTGATCTCCAGGAAGAGGGGGTTCGGATGTGAAGGCTTGAAGGGCTCCTTGGAATGGATTCCAGACCCCCTTGAAAATCCAGGCCGCCCATTGTTGGTGGAAGATCTGAGCCCTTTCCAGGGGCTCCAAACTGTGGACGGAGCAGGTGCCGAAACCACGCTGTTTGGGGGTGACGTCCCAGCAAGGACACTGGGATATGGACACCCAGAGAAGAGGGAATTGAACGACCCAACGGGCTTGTCGGATGTTACCTGTCTTCGTGCCCTGCCTGGTCAAAGCGGTTTGGTGTCTCCCGGGGGGGAAGACGAGGGCGTGATTGCCAGCCCTCGGTGGTTTTCTCCTGTGACGGGCTGTGAGATGCAGAGGGCGTCCTCCTCCCAGCTTAAGTTGAACTGGGGTGCCAGAGCTGACCGCAAGGCTTCCCAGAAGAGCCAGGGCTTGCCCAGCGATGGCTGGATGGGAGCCAGGACATCCGGAGATCCTGTCTGCAGAGGGAGGAAAGAGGATGCTCCGGAATGGATGGAAAGTGAGTTCACTCTTGATTGTCCACATGCCTCACCCAGGCGCTGTTGCCTGAGGGGCGATTTCATCTCTTGGGTCCTACCCGGACACTCAAGTCCCTTCCGCCATGCTGTTCCAGGGTTGTGTGTGATGGGTCTGTGCCACCATGCATGGTGCCTGTAGTTTGTGTGACCGAGAAGGACTTTTCTGGACTCTGGCATAACTTTCAATCTATCGGGTACTAACCAATCGTTCCTTCCCTGCCTCTGATTTCCTCTGCTTGGTGCTTTCCTCCCCCCCCCCGTCACTTGAGTCTGTTGCTGAAAGCAATGATGTCTGTCAGTTTGCTGTTGATCTGTCCAATCGTAATGAAACCTTTTATTCTTTCTCCTACTAATGTCTCAGAGTGAGTTATTGGGACTGTAAGTGACAGTTAAGGAGGAAAGAGATGGGCTACTCCAAGGAACCTGAAGCTATTTTGCCCATTTCTGCTGCGTAGCTGGAGGAATTTAACCAAAAAAATACAAAACTTCGCAACAATGGGACCCACCATGATCGAGTGAGACTCTGGATGGTGTTCTGATAGGCACAACGTTCTCAAATTTGCCCCCTTTCTTGTTCCCCTCTCTCTCTCTCTCTCTCTAGATGGCCGCTCAGGGTCCGGGCACTGTGAGCTTCCTTACCTGACGGAGCGAGGCCAGATGGAGAACTTCAGAGGCAAACATGGGGCAGGTGGGTGGAAGCTGTTAACAGAAGCTTTAGCAAGGAAACTGGTTGGATGGGGAAGTGTTATGGGATGGAGGGGGTGACGCCCGGCGGGTGGAAGCCATGAGGGTGAGGTGGGGTAAACGTTCGTTGTTGGAGGAGGACCTGCGAGGGAAAGAGAACGGTCCGGAGGCAATGCACTGTGACGTGACTTCAAATACGCTTTGTGGGAAGTGGACACGGAAGTCCAGATTTCAGCCAAAGTCAAGAGTTTCCCAGAGATCCTCAGGGCAGAATTTTATTTTTAATTTTTTAAGTCTTCCAGTGTTGATTTCCCTATGAAATGGGATGCACCCACCCTTCCCAAATCCTCAACATCTCCAGAGTGGATAACTGCCCCCCGGGGGGGGGCTTTCTAAAGTCACCCCCCTCAGTTTTCATCTTTTGTCTGGACGGGACGAGAAGAGCTTTATCCTCTCGCTCCCATCAGGATTTCCTCCCCACTAGCAGGAGGAGCACAGGCTGACATGCGCGCGGTCCCGGATTGTCCAAACATGCCGAGGAGGGGGTGGGGGGGGGCTTGCTTGGCTGGAGAAGGGAAGGATCGGAGGAAGGCCCACCCCGTGGCCCCTCGATGCATGAGCAGCATTTGCTTGGTCCCATAAAAGTTGGTTTCTGGACCTTGTTTAGACTTTCCCCCATCATCCACGACCATCCTTCATCACGGGTCACACCGCCTGGAGCCGACTGGCATGGAAGTCTGGCGGTATCTAGATTTGGGGAACATGTGTTGCACCCCCAAGTCTGGCGGTATCTAGATTTGGGGAACACATGCTTGCACCCCCTTGTTGTAAACAGAAATCAGGGGGGCTGGCTTTGAGATGGCGAGGGGAGATCTCTGCCCGCTGCCAAAGTGATGAGCGTTTGAACTTCTCTTCTTCTCCTCAAACAGCTGCTGGATCAGGCGCCACGAGGGACCCACTGAGGTCAGTAGTCTTCGGCCTTCGACTGCAGTGTCGGCACAACCTGGCTGGCTGATGGGGGGCCTCGGACTTTCATTCTATACAGTGAATTCTGCTCTGACTTTATCTGGCCTTATGACCCAGTGCCCTCTGGAAGGTCTTGTCGTTTGCAGCTGGGCTGAGATCTTGCCCATTCAAGCCCATGGCTTTGTTTATGAAATTAATCCATTGCATGTTTGTTTTTCCCAGAGTTTATAGAAGCTGTGTGGTCGTTAAAGAGTAGGCACGTTCAAGATGGGTGGTATGTAAATCTAATGAATGAATGAATGAATGAATGAATGAATGAATGAATGAATGAATGAATGAATAGGCCCCAAGGTTGTTGCCTTTCAGATTTATTGGGTTCTGCACAGCTGGCTGGGGATGATGGGTGCTGTAGTTCATGGCATCTAAAAGATGTCAGGTGAGGGAAGGCTGTTCTGTTCTGGGTACACGCTGGTAAGGAAAGCAGATCAAGAACAGATTTGCTGAAATGCTGCACTCATTCATTCATTCATTCATTCGGTCGGTCGGTTGATCGGTCAGTTTGTTCTTCCTTGATGATCTAGTGGCCAAGCCACTTCTCTGGTAGAGATAAGCATAAAATGAAATGCAATAATAGGCATCAATTAAAACAGTAAACCAAAGAAAAAACAACCGTAACCTATGTATAAGATCCAGGTGATACAGAAGATGGTGGCAAACAGACAATTAACCCCCAAATAATGGGATGTCGGTAATTAAATGGGAGGAAAGGAGGGAAGGGTTCCTGTTGCACCTTCACCGGGAGGGGGGGGTTCCACGCAGAGGGGGCCCCACCCCTGAGAAAGCCACGTGTTGCCATTTTGGGGACTGGCGAAGGGTGGGCACAGGGAGGGCTCCTTTTGCTCCTCCGCCCCTTGCAAGTCTTCGCTCTCTCCAGGGGGTCAGGCCAGGAGGGAGACATTGGGAGACTGGCCGGCAGCAGCAGCAGGAGGAGATCCAGCCACTTTGGGACACGGACTCCGAGCCGAGCCACGGATGCTGGAGGGACGGACGCTCCATGGGAGGACAACAGGAGTGGCAAGGTATTTCCCAGGTGCCAGGAGGGGTCTCTTTGTGGGCGGGGGGGAAGGGAGGCAGGAACAGAAATGCTGGCCAACAACCCAGGGCCTCGGGACTTTCAGTAGCCCAAAAGGAAACTGGTTAGCCCAAAGCTCAGAGTCCAGGTTACCTGTCAACCTGGAGTGAGAGGCAGCTTCGTGCCTAAGGAAATGGGATAAATGAATTAATTAATTAAAGTCCCAAGGAGGGGGTGGTGCCATTTGAGCCCCCAAGGGCTGTGTGATTATGGCATAGCAAGGTCTCCAAACGCAGGCTGTCTGAAGTCAGACTTGGGCTGCCTTGGAGGATGAACCTACGGAACTCACTGCCACAGGACGTGTTGGGAGGTACTGGGGCAGATGCCTCCTTCACGGCTGCCCTTCCGAGTCTCAGCCTTCTTCTGACTACTTGGCTGCCGTCGCGCTTCAGTTTGATGACCGAGCACGGTATACAAAATCGTGTTAACTCTTCCAGTTTCGTGAATGGCCAATTACTGATGTCTTTTATGTCAACCTTTCTCTCTACCTGGATGCTCCTGCCTACCTCCAGCAGGTATCGCAGTGGGAAGAGCGGGAGGCCCGGCTCCACCTCCTGGAGGACAGACTGTCCTATTTGCGGCTCCAGCTGAGGAACGCTCACGCAGAGCTCAACGCCATGAAGGAAGAGGCTGAGAAGAGCAAGCGGCGGCAGGAGGTGGGTGCCCATGGGCGCCATCTTGAAAAACCCATCTGGCCACCACGCTGCTCCGCTTGGATTTCAGAAGGGAAGCAGAGTAGTGTTTAGAAACGATGTGTCGAGGTGTCCTGCTCACTCCTTCCTTCCTTCCATGTATCCATCATCCACTCCTTCCTTCCTTCCTTGTATCCATCATCCACTCCTTCCTTCCTTCCTTCCTTCCTTCCTTCCTTCCTTCCTTCCTTCCTTCCTTCCTGCGGTTGAGAGGATTATGGGTGGTATCCTGAGATTATTTTAAAACCTACCTACCTACCTACCTACCTACCTACCTACCTACCTACCTACCTACCTACCTACCTACCTACCTACCTACCTACCTACCTACCTACCTACCTACCTACCTACCATTTTTACCCCACATTTCTCTAATGAAGGCAAAAGGCAGAACGCAAGGACACGCAGCAGTCACCGGCAGACACCTGCATGACTCTTGCACTTCTACATGGTCAGATTTTTGAGAAACCAGGTGCCGGACTCTCGTAGCATCTCACACCTCACCTTTGAGAGGTGTCGTATGAGACAGGTCAGCTTGCTTGAACCAAGGTGCCCCTGAGTTGACCGTGACCAACGCGTGACTTCCCAAAATGTTGTCGGAACAGCGGTGATCTCTCCCTATGTGGTCTGGGCCCGGTTTGAGCCGCCAGCCGGCGCTCCCGACCAGAAGCAAGAGGATGGTGGCCCTGAGTGGGGTTTGCTGGAGGCCCTTTTGCTTTCCGGGGGTGGGCCCTCAGCAGATGCCTCCGTGGACTGCCACTGAACGCCTCGCTCTCCTCCCCGCGCAGGCCATCTTGTCCGAGAAGGATCGGGAGCTCTTGAGGTTGCGTGCGACCATCTCTGCTTTAGAGGCTGAGCTGTGTGACATGGAAAGGCTGCAGGGGGAATACAAGCACCAGCTGGAGAGGCAGCAGGATGAGGCCTTGCGAGAGAAGGTAGCCAGGCTGTTCCTTCCCTGAGTCCTGCAAGGGTCTCTTCTCCCCCCCCCCCATAGCTTCTCTGTGGGGTTGACGACATTGGCTGTTTACTCTGGAGTTGGCATCAGATTTGGTATGGATAGAATTGGAATCAAACCCAGTGACTGCACAACAAAAGGCCAAACACAGGGAAACCCAGTGTTTTTCATTGGGGGAATCATCTCTTCTTGTTTGGCTGGCTTACGGCAATCATGTATGTGAAACAAACTTTTTTTAAACTTTATTTTGCTTTTAGGAGAAAGAATTATTGCAATTGCGGGAGGCGCTGGAGTGTGAAAAGCAACAAGTACTGCAAGAGGTAGACTCTCTCTCAAGATCTCCTGTCCTAGGAAAAGCAATGAGTAAAAGCTCTTATTATAAAGTACGGTAAGACCCATATCCACTGAGGAGTGGTTCACAGTCCCACCGTAGATCCTGAAAATCATGGATAATAGTGAACTAGGCAGGCAGGCAAGCAGGTGGGGGGAAAATGGGAAATATTTTTTTGACCTGCACTACCAGAACTGGCCACTATGGATTCTTCACTAACCAGTATTCAAAGCATGGTCTCTGGCGCCTTCTAATGGTCAGTTCTGGTAATACATGTATTACCATGTAAAGTGGTTTTTTTCTAGATTTTTTCTTTTAATATTTTACATATTTTCAGAGCAAGGATAAGTGAAACCGCGGATACTGGTCCCATGGATACGGAGGTCCTACTGTATCTACATTTTCCAAGCTCTTCTCTGCCACCATTAAAACCAATAAAATCTGTGCTCTTTTATGCAGAAACAATCTCAGGAAAAGAGCAGGAACCACCTTATTTGTTTAAATGCAGATTTAGGCAATGTCTTGAGTAGATCAGTTCTTTCTCAGTAATGCCTTCATCGGGGAGTTGCTTTAACCACAACCACATCCACAAAATAAAGCTAAGTTTTTTTCTGGGTGCCAAACTCTATCGTATCATGGGTGTCTAGGCATAACAAAAAACTCACTGTCATTTTATGCCTTTTGACTGTAACATTAAGGGCAGGGACTCTCTTGTTCTTAATGGATCTAGCAGTTGTTTCAGATGCTGGGAAATTTCTAGCTAAACTTCTCTTAGCTGTCCAGCAGAAGCGTAGGGATTCACACAGCAGAATAGCTATAAGTTCCACAGAGCAGACCACCCCTTTTTCTCACTAACTGGCACTTACAGTCTCAATAACGCAATCTGAGACAAATGTAGGAGGAAGTATATAAACCATTTTCTTTACTTACAGTTCTGAACACACCAGACACAAACATGGGTGCTTTTAGCAACAAACTTCAACGGACTCACCGTCAACCAACCAACTAAAAGAAGGGAAGAGACAGAGGCAGGGCATTTTGACACTGTTCTGGAAGAGCGAGGGGTGGTTAGGTTGGTTATGGGGATGGTCACAATGTACACCTGCGTCTCTAAATGTAACGTTACACCACTGGCAGAGACATAGGGACATGATGTGATCAACCCACTCTTCCCAGGCCTGGAACTCTGAGCTGATTTGGCCCTCATCCTGCCCTCAGGTGCAGAGCACTCTGCTTCAGGAGAGAAAGAAGTGGGAAGCAGAAGCGAGGGCTGCCCTCCAGATGCAGCGGGAGGCTCTGCTAGAGAAGGACCGGAGGATGCAGGCTGACCTCCGGGTAGCCCTGGAGGAAGAGAGGAAAACTGCCCTTGCTTTGCGGGACGAAACAGCCAACCTCCACGCGGTAAGAATCACGGAGACGAAAACCGCTCAGAAAGGGAGCCCCATAAGACAGTTGGGGCCTTTGTCCAGACGTTCAAGCGCCGTGTCCCAAAAGGAGTTGCAGGGCATCCTCGCAGAGCTTGGGAAAATGGACTGCGTTGAACGACCGGCCCTGGGCATCCCACAGCCACAAAAGGCAAGCTCTCCGAAGCTCTGCCGGTTCTCCCCCTTCTGCCCTGCGCCTGTGACACATCCCCACAACCCTCTGTGGGTTGGAGGACAACATTGTACATTACGGAGCTGGCTCCACCTGGATCTGGCTCCTGGCTCATGTAAACCCCCGAGATGATGACCCCTTTAAAAAAATTAATTTCCTTCCCCCTTTGGATGCAACAATTCACACACCCCCCATATTTTGCCGAGAGAGAGAGAGAGAGAGAGAGAGAGAGAGAGAGCAATGGAGGAATTCTGTGGGGCACCGTCTTAGAAATAGCTGTTGGTAGAAATAGCTGTAGCGCTCCAGTTCAGGAGGTTGGGCTATAGCGCTACAGCGCTATAGCAGCGGCCTCTAAGTATGTTTTCACTCCCATGGTTCACCACCCAGCTAGGAGAAAGTGTGGTCAGGTTTGGGTGGGCGGAATAAAGAACAGTTCTGCCTGGCATTTTGTTTCAAAGCGGATCCAGGAGTTGGAGAGCCAGGCCCGTTTGTTCCAGGCAGAGAAGAGGGTGGCGGTGGAAGAACTCCGGGAGCAGCTACAGAAGGAGAAAGAACAGGCCCTGAGACACCTCCGGGATGACCTGGAACAGGTGAGGAGAGTGTAGCGTGGAAAGGAGAGTCAGAATCTGTGGTGCCTTCTCTCTCTTCCTGATTCCCCTTCCTGCTTTTCTGTTCTCTTCCTTCCAAACCTTCTAAGCTTTAGATCAATCTTTTCTATTAATCCTTTGGCTTAAAAACCTTACAGACCTCACCTCCATGGTCTGTGTGTCCAACTGCCTCATCTCGTGTCCCGACCTAGATTACAAATTTCTCATAACAGGAGAAATGTTTACTTGCCCAATTTTTTCATTGTGGATCCTTGTGCAATGCAGAAATACTTTGTGCGTGTGGTTCATCACCTCCCAGCGTGGGTTGTGGTGAACGTTAACGGTGCACTTCAGAGTTTCAGGGTCTGTAATCCTTCCCTCTGTTTAGGAAAGGGTGCAAGACATGGAGCGGATGAGAGCGAAGCTGCAAGAGGCCGAGGAACAGCAGGGGATTCTACGGGCCGAGGAGAGAAAGTCCGGCGCTGAATGGGCAGAACGCTCGCTGGCCATGGAGGTCGCCTCCATGGCCCGGCAACTCCAGGACCTGCTTCCCCGGAAGGCTGGCAGGCTTAGCTTCTCCCAGGGGCCACACAGGTAAAAAAGGCAGATGGGGCGTGTGGTTACGTTTGGCTTGTGGCTACACAGAGTACTACTCAGAGCTAGCTTTTCAAAAGCTTGCATCCAGCCTCAGCTTCCTGGTCTGTTGTGTTTCCATCCCAACTTTCCGCCAGCGAGGGGAGGGCAGCATATTTTGACTCTTTCTCCCTCTTCTACCCCCACAACAACCCTGGAAGGTAGGCCAGCCTGAGAGACTGTGACAGCCTACGTCACCTGGGGACTGTCAGGGTGGAAGGGGAGGATCGGAACTCGGCTCTCTCGAGTCCTGCTCTAGAACTCTTAACTGCTACACCACCGTGGCCTTTTTTCTCATCTCTTCTCATCTCCTGGGCCAGTGATGGCGAACCTATGGCAAGCGGAGCCCTTTCTGCTGGCATGTGAGCCATAAGTCGCCGGATTGCTACTCCCCCCCTGCGCAGCCAAACCTGAGAAGGCGGCCGCAGCTGCGGTGCTGGCACTTTGGCAGGCGGATCTGGACCGCGGTTTCGAGGCACCTCCATGCCCAGGATCCCCCTTCCTCTGCCACTTCCGTCGCCACTCCTGGTTCCATCACATCATGGTGGCGGCATGCCGCCTGCTGTTTTTTTGTTTTGTTTTGGCCATGCAAGCTCAAAAAGGGTCCACTGCCACAGTTCTAGGCCAACCTTTGGCATCTAACGGGGATAGTGGCTGGCCTTCGAATCTTTCCCTTTGCTGGCCTCTTGACAATTCAGTGGCGGATCCAGGGGCTATAACTACCCTTTTTCCTCACTCATGTCCTGTCCCATCTCTGTGTTCCCTGGCATTTCATCCAACCCTCAGCCCCTCTTGGTCTCTCATCCTCACTCAAACCAACCCAAAACACCCCACTTTTCAGCCTCTTGCTCTCGGCCGGTCTTGCTCTGTCTTTCAGGGCCCCTCGTTCCACACCTGTCTCTTACCCCCTGCATGCCAAGGTACACACACAGTTCGCATTATACAGCTTACGTTACCTCCTAGGCGTGAGACCTGACTGGCCCGCACAACAAGGACCTGCGGTCTGTTTGTAGTTCTTGGAACTGACCTCTCTATTGGTGCACGGTTTGTCTTTCCCAAGGAGTCCGGCTGTCTTCTCCTCTGGCCACACGCTCCGGGCCGTGCGGGAAATTTGCCAAGACACGCAGCGCTACCTCCAGGAGCTGAGACACGAGGCAGAGATGCAGAAGCACGAAATCCTTCCGGTCCAGAAGGAGAAGGTGAGGGAAGAATTCCTTCTGCTGGCTCTTTGAGTCCAGCGCCAGTTGGCTGAACAAGATGCCAGCCTTGGCGGGTGGGGGAGACGCCCTGTCTTGCTCGGAGCCTGCAGGAGAGACCGAAGAGAGAAAGAGATGTAAAGAATATAAGGCTTGGAAGCAGAGAGAAAACCAGAGGAGAGAACAGTGTTGGGATTAATGAGGTTGGAGATTTGTTTGTTCATAAACCAGTTTTGTTGGAAGTCTTTGGCGTACAAGACTCTCCCTTGCAAGAAAAGGTATCCGAGAGGGAGAAGGACGTTGGACAAGATCACATGGGCTCGTTTATAAATTCTGGCCCATGTTGGCTCACATTATGATCTCTCTTATAATGGGAATTGTGATTGCACAAATAACCCTTCCTTATATAAATCCCCATGCCTTCTTTTATATTGTAACAGTCTACCTTCTTACATTGAGTCCTTTACTGAGTTTCTTTTGCTTTCCCCCCACCCCATTTTCTGCAGGGCTGTTACCCCCACCTGCGCTCTTCCTGCGCCAGACAGCTAAATGGAACATCTTTCTCTAGCCAGGGCAGTTTTAGCACCCAAAAACTCTTGCGTCTCCTGCAGGGCCAGATCCGAGAGCTGCGGGCAGAGAAGGCTGGGTACCACGGAGGCAGCCCGGACCACCTCAGCGTGTTCCGGGAGGATCTGGCCAACACAGACACAGAAGCAAAGTAAGAAAACAAAGAAAAACACCAAGGGGCAACGAGATGAGAAGTGTGTACCTTATTTCTACAGCAGCACATTAACAAAACAAACCAGAAATCACCTTCTTAGAAGCTTCGGTTTCAGTTTTCTAGCTCGTATGTCACAGGACTGGGATCGGCTAATTCACACTTTGTTGTGTATACCACATGACGTGAAAGCAAATGCAAATCAGCCGGAGATTCCGCCCCCATAATCCATTGGTTTTGCCTCCATCACTGGGGCTCCTACTTTTTTTTTTACACTGAATCCATTTGCATCGGTTCAGTTGGGGTGATCACTTGAACAGATGCAGCATGATCCTTTGCTCTCAGCCATTCCTAAAACAGCTGAATTTGCAGACTTAAAAAAAAAGGATTTCTTTTCCCTAGTGTTCCCTTGTCACTCCTACTCAGAAATCATGAGTTGCTCCTCCTTAAAAGAAAACCTGTTCCTACCCAAGGTAACAGGACACAGTTTTTCTCATCCATACTAAAAGAGAATTCTTGAGAAAGAAGTGGCTTCATTTTTTCCACTTAAACGTAGCACAAGACTTTGCTTGCTCAGTCTGTGAAAAGAGGAGAAGAAATTGCCATTCTGTCCTTGTTTACAGCTTATTAAGGTAGTTCTCCCATAGCTGTGCCTCCTGCAGGGCTTTTTGCAGAAATGGCGTCCACACCTTGCTTCTTACTTCTCTTCTTGAATTTCAGAGGCAACAGACTCTGGGCACCTCGCCCTCTCCACTGCATGGGAAAAGCTCCTGGAATTAGAACCCTTGCTGGTAGCGGAGGAGAGTAAAACAGCAAGCAGGCTGCAAAAGAGTTGCCCACCCATGGAGCTTTGTTTGCAGCAGGAATGATGAACTTTCAGTGCTCCAGATGTTTCGCATTGCAGAGCCCACAACCCTGGGGATTTTGAGTGTCATCGTCTAAGATATCTGGAGTGCCAGAATTTGGCCACTCCATGCATAGACCATCATCTGAGTGTTTTCTGCCTCTTCTTTTTCAGAGGGTGGGCTGATCTGGGCATTAACAGTTGTTACAGACAGCCCATCGTTAAAAGAAAAAAAAATCCTTAACAGCTGCGTCTGCGTGAGAGTCAAAGCAGGCGCTTCTTTGACCTCCCACAGGTGGCCAGTTAGCTTGCTCTGTTTTGCATCTTCCATCTTCAGAGAGTCCTTTGAAAGGCATATTTTTAGGCACAAAAGTCTCCCCGAATCATGTCTCTTCAACACCAATACCTCAGCTCTAATCATGGATATGAATATCTAACGTGGTTTTTCCCCTTTTTGGTACAAAACCCATCAGAGTCTTGGGGAACCTTGAAGACTTACAAGTGTTACTTGGCATCAGCTTTCATAGCCTGCATCACAGCTTCCATAGGTGCATGATGGAGTACGTAAAGCAGGACCCTGCTATCCACTGATTCACTTATCTGCTGCCTGAAAACACTAAATAACACCCCCCACCTGCAGAAATGCATATTTCCAAGGTGTATTTACCAAAACTGGGCATTAGAGGGAGCGAGAGAATATGCAATGTACAAGTGTTTGATACTTCTGCATTTTTCAGCATCTGCAGGAGGGTGGTCTTTGAACAGATGCCCTATGGATACTGGAGTCGTATTCTACACTCTTCTGTCAAATGTGATGTTCCATGTGACTCTTAGCTGTCTTTTCTGTTTAGGTATACTTTAAATATTCACAATTTTGATAGCTGACCAAGTCCCTCGTTTCATCGTTTCTATTCATTCCTGCCTTATGATCAGGTTTTGCATCCCTGTTTTATACCAGCTCATATCAGATGTTTACTAAAAATGTCTTTGTATGTAATTTTCAGCGTAACCCTTCATCCCTCAGGATCTTTAGTATATTACCCGGGACACGTAAAAACAATATATTTTCAAAACTTGGTGAAAAGGTTTTTTTTTTAAAAAAAAAAATAATAATAATGGATTATCATTAAATTGCATTTTTTTTTAAAAAAAATCTGAGTACCACGGAAGCTTGTGGCTCAAGAAACTAAACTGTGAACTAAAAACAGGACACGTAAAAACAATATATTTTCAAAACCTGGTGAAAAGGGGTTTTAAAAAATAATAATAATCATGGATTATCATCAAATTGCTTTTAAAAAAAAATAAAAATCTGAGAACCACAGAAGCTTGTGCCTCAAGAAACCAAACTGTGAACTAAAAACGAAATGCTGTATCAGGAACTCCATGGCTGGCCTTCAGCGGTCAAGCACATATAGAATCTGAACAGTGTTAGAAACTAATTTTGCTCTATTTACATGAGTTCACTGCCCTACTTACTGATCAAGTTCTGAGAAAACTGGGCCTCTTGTGTTTGAAAGGAAAGCCAACGGTGCATAAACAGCACTGATTGGCTAGTACCTGTAACGCCAAATTGTGTATTTGCCTTTCCAGTACTGAATAGTGTGGGTAGAGTTGGGGACTTAAAAAAAAAATAGAGGTTTAGATAAGTCTGCTTTTGTAATATTTTTGTCTAATATTTTTAATATCATGTTTAATCCTTAAAGTATTTGAATTTCAGATATTGTATTTTTTAATGATGTATGCATTTTGGGTCCTTTTTTTAAGGAGAAAGGCAGCGTACAAACATTTTTGGATAAATAAATAAGTCGTTTGGACATCTGTTTGTATTCTGTGATTGGATTAACAGTGTCATCCCGCTTGAATGTTGAATGCAGTGCTGGGGGGGAGATATATATTTCTCATCTGCCCATTGGTCTCAAGATCAAACTATTCATTATTAACAGAAGAGCAGAAATTGGGAGAAAAGCTGGCCCAGCAAATAAACAGGACAAGGGGAAAAAAAGGAGACAGTGGTTGAAAAACACAGCTGGCGAGCATCAATTCTGCTGCAGGAAAGACGGGGTTAACTCAAAGGGGAGGGAGTGCCAGAGCCGCCCCTTGCACTCTGAACCACCATCATCATCCCAGCAAAAAAGAAAAGCAGGAAGAAGGAACATTCCACATGCTGGAAGCCTTTTGCAAGCTGCACTTGAGAGGCAAAGAGGTAGAGGCTTAAATGGAGCATGATTTCCGGCTGATCCTGGCTGCGCTCCTGCGGGGCAAGGGTGGAAGCTAGAAAAATATCTTCTGGTCCTTTTTTCTCTCCGAAAACGAACAAGCAAAATGACAGCGCTGAGACTATTGTGCTTTGCAAACATCACGAGAGGACGGCTCAATGGGAAAGAATAACGCAGGCAAAAAATGGGAGGCCACGGGAAAAGAGGAAGGCCAGATGTGAGATGGACTGATGCCCTAAAAGAAACCATGACCTTGAATTTGCAGGAGCTCTGAGGGCAGGAGATGCTGGAGGTGGCTCATTCATAAGGTCGCCATAAATCGGCCACCAAGCGCTGCTCCATCTTACCTAATTGAAAACAGCAAAGGAGAAGCCCTCAAATAAAAAAACAAAGCCAAGCAACAACAGAAACTTTTGCTCTCTGGTGAATGGAGCATTTACTAGATATCTCACACCTTAATGATATCTGATATCACTCTGATATCACAAAGGCATCACTAGTCTTGAGTTTGGAAAAGGCACGAGGCTTTAATGGCTGGAATTGAGGATGGTCAGCAACCAGGTTTCATCCCAGGGTTTGGGAGGTCCTGCTTCGGCATCGCAGTTTGGACAGGCCGCGCCACAGGCAGGATCCCTCAGTTTAATTAGAAAAAAAGAGAGAGCAGCCGGATCGCTGGGGGAAAAGCACCGCTGGCATCAGAGTCGCCAAATGCAAAGGCGCTCAAAGGCTCTTGCGCCTTTAGTAGGTTCAGCTTGGCATGCAAGCTAGGGTTTGGGAGGTCCTGCTTCGGCATCGCAGTTTGGACGGGCCGGCAAGGAAGAAAAAAAGATGCGCCACAGGCAGGATCCCTCAGTTTAATTGAAAAAAAAAAAAAAAGAGCAGCCGGATCGCTGGGAAAAAAGCACCGCTGGCATCAGAGTTGCCAAATGCAAAGGCGCTCAAAGGCTCCTGCGCCTTTAGTAGGTTCAACTTGGCAAGGTCCTGCTTCGGCATCGCAGTTTGGACGGGCCGGCAAGGAAGAAAAAAAGATGCGCCACAGGCAGGATCCCTCAGTTTAATTGAAAAAAAAAAAAAAAGAGCAGCCGGATCGCTGGGAAAAAAGCACCGCTGGCATCAGAGTTGCCAAATGCAAAGGCGCTCAAAGGCTCCTGCGCCTTTAGTAGGTTCAACTTGGCATGCAAGCCGTCCTTTGCAGAATTTCCCATCTCCAAAATGTCTGGTCCTCAACTGCTCGGCTCGGCTTGTTTTAGTAGGTTCAACTTGGCATGCAAGCCGTCCTTTGCAGAATTTCCCATCTCCAAAATGTCTGGCCCTCAACTGCTCGGCTCGGCTTGTAAACTCAAGCCTTGTGGCTTCCTTGAGGGAGTCGGTCCATCTCATATTCTGGGGTCTTCCTCTTTTCCTGCTGCCTTCTATCTTTCCCAGCATGATGGTCTTGAGAAGGTCAAGAGGCGCCCAAAGGAGGAGAGCTTCGGCTTCAACATTTCGGCCTCCGGGGAGAGTTCGGGCTTGCCTCCAACAGGACGGGGCAAAACCTCTTTCCACCCCCTCTTTTTAAAAAAATTATTTAAAATTATTGTTTTAATTTTTAAAAAATTGTTCTTTTTTTCTTTTTTGGAAAAAGCACATTTTAAAAACGGCAGGCGTGCAAACCCCCGCAGCTGGCCGGCTGGTCTTTGTCAGGTCTGCTCCCACCTCTCCACCGCCCGGCTTGAGGGTCTCGATCCTGCCCTCCACCTCTCCCCGGCATCCATGCAAAAAGCGAACCCCAAGGGGAAGGGGCTGGAATTTGGGGGTTCCCCTGTGCCTTAGCCTAGAAGAGCTTGAGAAAAGCAGAATCTGCTCTCCCTGCACAAGAAGCCTCCGCATCTGGGGTGTCCTGACGACGCTCCCCAGCTTCGCACCCTCCTCGGCGAGCCGGTGCGTCTTCTCCTCTCCCGGAGCAGGGAGATCCGGATCCGGCCAGGGGGTGGCGATGTACGGCTCCGCCGGACTGGGAAGGGTTAAAAAAATCCCCGGGATCCCCGCGACCCATCTTGCGATGATGCCCCGAAAGGCGGAGGAGGAGGAGGAAAAGCAGGAGAGCCGCCGCCCGGATCGCCCGCTTCCCTTGGCTTGGCTGGGGGGGATCCCCAGATTCGGATCGCGATCC